CTAGAGGAATGTCTGAACAAAAGCAATGAAAGACAGGCAGAGGGCCATGGATTAAAAGTCACCCACATTTGGCTTAGTAGCATTGCTTTCTGTCCACTGGGCCAGCTGATCTCTCTCTGTAATAACTTTTAAAAACACACAGGAAAAAGTGTCATTCAAATCTCATTTTCTTTCAGATTTCTGTTAGTCTTATAAAGGACACTCCCAATTTGCATGATAATGAGTGGCTCAGAGTCAGACATGATTTCACTTTGTCTCTGTCCCCTAACAAGGCCTGAGGCCCCCAAGAAGGCGGGAAGCATGTTCAGCAACCACTTGGTGTCTCTCAGCCTAGTCCATGGTCTGGCCTGGCCAACTGTTAATATTTGCTGAACAAGGCAGGTAATACAAGCCTAGTCAGCGAGTTGACATTTTTTTGGTGTGTGTATGTCTGCAACTGGCTCCCCTGTGCTGAGCTCTATGAGCTGGGGGGACTGTGGACGGGAAAGGGATTAGTTGGGGGAGGGGGCAGTTAAAAATCTGTGTAGTGCAGGTGGAAGATGTGTGGCCCAAATGTTACTGAAAGCAAGGGGCTCTTGCCGTACTCAGTTGCCAGTTAAGACAAACGGATTGCAATATCCATAAGCACTTTATTACAGATCTGTGGAGGACAGTGGGTAGGCCTCAAAGATGACCTCCTGGATTGGGAGAGGTCACCAGGCTTTTTATACTAAAATCAAAGACTTTCTATATCTGAAAGGAAACCATTCACATCCAGATACTCCCTTTCCCTGCAAACAGGTTAAATTACAATATACATATGATTGAGAAAAACAGCTTTGAAGAGAGTAACAGCTAATCTAGGAGATGCATCTTCTCTTCTGATAAACAGACAGATTAAAGAAAGGATACTAAGAATTCTAAGGTCAAGCAATTAGCCTTTCAGGCTGGAGAAAACGGATTCCAGTTTTATAACTATATAACTATAGTTCCATAACTGATATGTTGTTGTTGTTGTTAAGTGCTGTTGAGTGACCTTATAAACCAAAGTCCTTGACAGTTGCATGACTGTCATCCTTTCTCCATGTTCGTAGGGTTTCCCAAGGCAAACTATTTACGGAAGTGGATGCCACTCCTGCTTCCAAGCTTGTTTTAGCTGGGGAACGCCACCAAACACTGTCCACCATGGGTAACCATTATCGCATTTGACACATCAGTGTCACAGTGTTCAGCTTCACAGCGACCACAAGTTGCCTCTGTACGGCAAGTGGACAGTCCAGGGCTATACGACCTAGAAGAATATACATAGAAATTCTGAACTTATCAGTTCCACCAAGAGGCAGAGAGGGGTACAACTGGGAAAGTGCCCCTGTGACTCTATTCTTGACTAAGTTTTTTTAACTTCTTAGGGTATTTGTTATTTTCTTAAAAAAAATTTTAATTGTGATCTTAAGTTCATAGAGGAGTTAGATTTTCATTAATTTATTGTTGCACGTTTTAACTCCCTCCTTCCCTTCTCCCTCCCCCAGTTAACTTTTTAAAATTTAAATAAAAATTTTATACTGGTTTACTTACAAAGTTTGTATACATTGTTTTTCACACCAGATCTTTCTAGTTTCTGTAGCGGAGCGAGTCCCCAAAAAGATCACCGAGCCAATTAGCCGAATTAACAAAGTTTATTTCGAGTTCGAACCCGGGCTCCCGTGTGCTGACACAGCGGCATCCACCCGAGAGCCCCGAATTGATGTCTGCCCCTCCTTTTATACCTCTGCTACTCCCCTGCCCAACCATACACGCCATGATTGGCCATCCACAGTAGTTTGGGTATTTGTCCACCTTCAACTGGCTAGCCATAGTTCAGGGTAACAGTTTGGAAACCTATTTGAATCTTATCGGTTACTTCAGATACAGGAATGCAGAAAACTCCTTGTGCTCTTACAGAGAAGAAGAATTCCACTTTCTGGCAGTTGATCAATCAGGGTGGGATTTACCATAGGTGGGGGTTGTTCGTTTATTTGTTAAAAAACCACTCAAGCGGGTGGGGTGGGGTTAACTGTACTTCACCAGAAACTGAGTTTCTGATAACTGGTCCTTTCAGTTTCCTTTACCCACACTATGATTAACCACCACCACCCCTATCCTCACCTTATACAGTATTTGCCATTATGGGTCTGAGTTAGTTCACTTAGCATAATGTTCTTCAGTTCCTCACAAGTCAGGTAGTGATTTACAAAATCATTGCTTCTGCATCTTGCTTAGTTAGTATTCCATTGTGTGAATGTATCATAATTTCTCAATCCATTCAGTCAGGCCCACCAAGGTCAAAGGGAGAACAAAGGATTCAAAAAGCATCAACATGTCAACAAAGTGAGAATGCAGCCTCGCCCATCTGACTAAACTACCATGGAGTGTCCCTCACTTTCCTCCCTAGAAGACCACCCACCTGGCTAAACTCCAATGGACTATTCCTCTCTTCCCTCCCTAAAGACCCTTACTCTAATAAAACCTGCCCTAATCCACTTTAGGGCATGGTATTTCCCTGGTCTGTATCTCTGCCTGTCTCTCTCTCTCTGCAGACCAAGGAATCTAACCCAGGAGCCCCCTTAATAAAGCTTCTTGAGCTCTCTGGTGGCCTAGTGGCAAGAAGTTGCCCTGTAATCCCAGAAGTGCACTTCGAATCCACCAGATGCTCTGCTGGAGAAGGAGGGACAATCTCCTCCTGTACCAGTCAGATCCGGTTTGATGGTACATGCACAAAAAATAATTTAAAAATTAAAAAAAGTTTCTTTAGCTTTTTTTTCTTTCTTTCTCTGATCCCTTCCTTGAGTCCTTGGCCTTCCATCCAGTGCAGAGACCTAACCACCTAAAGGGACAGAATAACTCCATATTTGGGAACTAACAGAAGGCACCCAATCAGCACCCTTCACAGACAACTAACCATCTTGCCCCCAACCTCTGCTTATAAAAATTTGCCTGAAACTTTCTCATTTACGACTTTCCTCCTTCTTCTCTGTCCTGAGACACTAAACTCGTCCAAGGGCTGATAATAAACGCCTTTGTTTTACTTTACCTGATGTTCCACATGCACTTTTTACCTTACACATTCCATTGTGGGTGGACTTCTGGGCTGTTTCCATGTTCTTGGGAAGGTGAATAATGCTCCTGTGAACATTGGTGTGCGGGTCTCTGTGCCTCAATTTGTTAAGGGGATGATTTCCAAAAGGTCCAGGGACCTCTTCGAGTAAGAACTAGAAAATTCTGACTCGGAAATACAAAACAGACACCAATACCAAGTGAGAGCAAAAGAAAGAAACGAGGTTTTTTAGACGTTCTTGTCTAAAATAAAAAAACGTATTGTGATGGGAAAGTCTGCGGTTAAGGACCTCTCTAAAGTACTCAAGAGCAACGGTGTCTCTCTGGAGACTAAGGTGCGCCTGATACAGGCCATGGTTTTTGCAATCACTTGTTATGCATC